TATGTAGAGCTTTTATATTAATGATACATGTACATCATTCTACATGCATTCTTCAATCATTCAATGATTTATTTATTAAGTTAATGAATGTAGAACATTTCATGGTTCATCTTATTTTTGTGACTACTCACCTGACTTGTGTTACAGTGTCTTGTCCCATTAATACATGTATTATACTGAAGTGCATGTATAACTACAATGTACATGTAGTAGAGCATTTAGGACAAGTATAGCAACAAGCGATTACACATTCAAATTGCTTAATATTATTTTACAATGTCCATCAATATTGTGTATTCAGGTACACTAGTCCTTAATTTAACCAAATGTTTTGTGTATAGTACATATGTGTACTTATAAGTTATACTTGTATTATGTGTGAATTACTATTACTATTAAATATTCCTTCAATTTAATCAAAAGCATGGGCAGTTTGACCTTTGACTCATGCTTGACACTAGACTAGAACAAAATTCAACTTGAGCATTAGCATAACTTGAGGACTAGCAGAAATATTGTAAACCACCTTATAGCAAGGAAACACTGTACAGTGTACATACATGTACATGTACATTTTCATACATACACATGTAATATTCATGTACATGTACACGTTAATTGTAGAAATAGCTTAATTATTTTATACTGACTGTCAATATTGATACACTATCCTTTGTATTGTACTGGTACTTATACATGTACATGTACCTGCTCATTAGTAATTGGGCTAGCAAAGAACCACTCTGTATGTATTGCATCTCCAGTCAGGCCCATCTTCTGGTCACGCCCCATGTGTGTACTACTGGGTATTTATCTAATGTGGTAGCAGTAATATTATAAAAACACATGTTTATTGGCCTCGCCTACACGAGGTATAGGTAGTTGTTGTGTGTGTCTGTCATTCATTCATTCATTCTGTACAACTGAAATTTGTTTTTAATAAACAATAACTTTAGCACGGCATGTTTCAAGCTCCTAGATCTTTCTTTTTGGCGTGGAAAAGTCTTTCTTAACTGTTTTGTGTTGCTCCAATACAAGTGCTAGGTACAGAAGCTTCAAAATAAGAAAATCAAGTAGTTGGGCCAAGTTCCGTTGTGTTGGCACTTTAGAGATAGCTGGTAGCATTTTTCAGTAGATTAGAACATGGCCTTCAAAAAATATGAACAGATTTCTCTAAATCTTACTTGATGAAGAGTTATACTTACTTGAAATTGTTGAGGTCACTTGTTTGTGCAGCGCTAGAGCAACAACTTGCTGGGTTATAGGTACTAAATTACCTATACTATCTCAAATATACAAAGGCAGCAACTTTTTTTGTCAGCAAGCTTATCATATATTGCTGATTAGTAAGAAAAGTGAAGCTTCTTTCTCACATGGTCTTCTTGCTGCCAATCATTCCAGTTATGATGGAATGCTACACCTTTCAATCTACATGCATGGGAGGGGCTGGAGCTGCTTGCATGTATGTGCTGCAGTGCTGCTACTTCTGCAGGTATTCAAGAGCAAGTGCAACTGCTAGTGTTGAGCAGACTCTCTTCATGCTGATAATCAAACAGTTATTGCAGTGCGGGCATGCACCATAGCAGCTATAGGGGCGAGGCCATGCACCGTAGGTGTCTCGTTAATACATGCATTAAACTACAGCTAGTATAACTGGAAGAATACTGTAGCACATTTACAGGATGAGCAGTACATGATGATATGTTATAGTGGGTTTTTTGGCTGAAGATAATTTTTGCGAATGATCCATATCTGGAAGTTTGCAGACTTAATTTTTGCAACTTTTCACTATTCTACCATTTTTTACCGTATTAAATTGATTTTCTAGGAATTTAATTTCATGAATCATGAAAAATCTGTGAAATTTGTGGAATTTGTTATCCTAAAAAATCGCTACACGCCATCACCATGTTTGCTTATTTACTGTTTACACTTTGTGAAACATGCATGTATAGTATTTGATCTATC